GGGGGGAAAAAACCCTTTTTATCTCCAGCGCGCGGAATTGTGCATCGGAAATTCTATAGATAGGTTCATTTTAAAATTATTTTGCCACATTGCTATTGAGCAGAAATTTGTGGTTTAAGTGTGAAGAACATGATATTTAATAAAATAAAGGTAACACGCAAAACGTTAAAAAAACACCCTTTGGACGTAATTTCAAATCCGAAACCTTTCAGATTTTTTTTCCTTGATTTTTTTATTAATTATATACGTTTCAAGGCTAAAAATTGGGAAAGATTTTCTCAAAACCAAATTTATGCACAGTGCTAACTTTCATGGTTCTAAATTTCAATAATAAATTATATGTTTATAATTAATTAACTATTTGTCATTTAAGCAATGCGCTTCGATACTGAATTCTGAATATTTAGATTAAAGAAACGTTCTTCTAGCTTTAGTTTATTATTCAAATAGACAATACCATATCCTGTCATCTTTGCATCAGCACATTAGAAGAGTAGTTTAAAATTAACGAATAGGCCGCCCAGATTAATTCAATGATATCGGAAATATAAAACCAAGCTTGCTGAGGCCATGAAAACTTGCTAGAAAAGTCTGTAATTTGAATTCAAAGAATTATTAATCAAACTTATCTGAGAAGTAAATTCATTAAATGACGTACAGTACAGGGTGTTATGTGGCAGATATTAAGTCATTTCGTTGGTAGGTCAAAATCAGTCCAACCCTTTAGGAGATAAAAAATTCACTAAACGAGGTACAGGCTATTATGTGACAGATATTTCGTTGTGAACTTGTTGGTAAGTCAAAATTACTTCAACAATTCAGGTGTAAACTTATTGAAGTCGTGTATAACTAATAGGAAAATCTATAAATAAGTCGAATTCAAAGAATTATTTATCGAATTTATCTAGATCAAAAGAAAATCTTTAAGTCGAATTCAAAGAATTATTTATCGCATTTATCTAGATCAAAGGAAAATCTGTAAGTCGAATTCAAGGAATTATTTATCTAATTTATCTAGATCAAAGAAAAATCTATAATTCAAAGAATTATTTATTGAATTTATCTAGATCAAAGGAAAATCTGTAAGTCGAATTCAAAGAATTATTTATCTAATTTATCTAGATCAAAGGAAAATCTATAATTCAAAGAATTATTTATTGAATTTATCTAGATCAAAGGAAAACCTTTAAGTCGAATTCAAAGAATTATTTATCGAATTTATCTAGATCAAAGGAAAATTTGTAAGTCGAATTCAAAGAACTATTTATCGAATTTATTTAGATAAAAATTAGTCCAACAATATCGGAAATGTAAACCAAGCTAGTTGAGGTCATGTAAACCTGTTAGAAAAATTTTTAATTCGAATTCAAAGAATCGAATCGAACTTAGAGAAGTAAATTCACTAAACGAGGTGCTATGTGGCTGGCAGATATTTGCTTTAAGTCAGTTTGTCGGTGGGTCAAAATTAGAAAAATCTGTAATTCGATTTCAAAGAATTATTTATCGAAGTTATTTGAAAAGTAACAGCATCAAAACTTACAACTCTTAAACTGTGTCAAAAGTACGTTATACGGTGGAATTGATTTGTTTCAAATTTTCATTAAAATTTGATTGCATTATTCTTATAATAGTCAACTGGGTTATGATTTTATAATAATTTAGAATTAAAAGGTAAAGTTTATTTCTTTCTTTAAAAAAAAATTCGAGTCGAAAAATGAGTTCTTCATTTTTTTTGGGGGGGGGAGGTTAGTTTGCACAATCTTAGACTATTAAAATAAATCTGTCAGACGAGGAAGAAATACATAATAAACTAATTAATTTACTCTACCATATCAGCAAAAACCACATTAATAATTTTACTAATAGGCAATCAGCTTGTAAGGTTTATCCTAAGTTGCTAACAGTTATCTTTCGAGCTAAAGCTACTTTCCTATCGCTTCTAATTTCAGCTTACGAGTTTTCTACTAGAATGTGTTTTCAGAATCGCCGTTAAATGTAAATGAAAGAAGAGCAGTACTTCAAGTCGAAGTTTCACTGACTTCGTTAGAGAGCCAGAGATGCTGACTAGCGCGCGTTCGCCCTTTAGTTGCACTCTCTATAAGTTATTATTAAGCTCGGCCGTATTTAAGGCCCTTGTTAGCTTCTCCGCTTAGTTAGCGTTTAAGGGGACAACTCTTGTGGAATTTTGATATCTTCGGCTATACCTTTTTAGCTAAGCACTACTTAAGTTTTAGTTCTTAGTATTTTTCAGCTAACCTCTTCGTCGTCCGTAACGCGTCTAGCGCGTTCAAGTGAAACTTCCGCAGGGCGGGCCCGTAACGCGCTACAAGCGTTCTTCTACATTTAAAACTAAAACTTTAAACGTTTAAAACGCTTTTTTAAATGTTTACTTGTTTAAGTTTTTATTTATGGCTAATCTTTAGAATATGGTAACAGGTAGTTTGGCGACATTTTGGTGAGGCGATAAAGGTTACTAGCTAGGACTACTTTTTAAGTGAAAATAGGCCGATGTGTATATATATAAGTCAAGAGTGTGCGCAATTCTATTTTTGTGCAATTCTGGGTTTTTTTTAAGTGAAAATAGGTCGACGTGTACATGGATACCGTGTATGTGCAATTCTTAAAAACGCGCGGAGCAGTGGGCGATTCTGCACTTTCGCCCAATTTCGCACCTAATCTTCGTCATGATTAAGCACTTTGGTTCCGTAAAAGTTCTAGCATAAGCGTAATTCGGCTAGCAGATTGTTGGAAAAATGTTGAGTAAAAAAAAAAAAAAAAAAAAAAAAGCTTTTACTTTGTGAAAACAAAATGGCGTCCGAAACAAAACTGGCAGGTTGCTGTAGCATGGTTGGTCGCCAAAATTTCGCCAAGTTACCATAATGTAAAAAATTTACCGTTTTTATTTTTGTTTGTTCTAATACCTCCTAGAGGGCAGCACTAATCAGACATTCTATTTCTAATTGAATTTGCTACTGGTTTTATGAATATTCGCGCCATTTTACACAAGATACAAGACAGTGATCGATGGCTTCAACCTCTACTCAGCAGAAAAAGAGAAAAAATGAGGTTGTTTTGAATTGGAAAGACAAGAAGGATATACGTTTGATGAGTACAGTCCATAACAACTCGATGATTGATGTTGGAACACGGAAAAGAACTGTAAAAAAACCAATAATTGTAAAAGATTACAACAACAAAATGGGAGAAGTGGACCGCCTGGATCAGATGTTATGAAATTATCCTGCTGTGAGAAATAAGCAGAGATATTATTTTTCCATTATGCTTTATTTCCTTATAATCTTACTTAATATTCATTGACATTCATCCACTACGAAAGTGATGTATGGGAAGTTATGATGTGCAGAGAAAACAACATTACACGCTACGAAAAACAGACGGCCCGCTGGGGGAAAATTTTCGGGGACAGGAGAGGACGGCGAAAGGGTTAAAGCCCAAGGGGAGGCTGTTCTGTACGTCTTAAGAAAGGGCCACCTGTAAACTTTCTTTTCAACAATAAAGGGTAATTAACAATTCTTTATTTTCTGTTCTCTGAGCTAAAGCGTTCATTCGCTTACGAGCTCTACCACACATTTAGCTGTAAATTCTAGGTAGCAATCGTTTAAGCTAATTAATTTAATCTGCCAGATGAGCAAAAACACATTAATTAATTTATTAATACGCAATCAACTAATTAATTTATTCTACCAGATGAGCAAGAAATACAACACATTAATGAATGTACAAATACGCTGTCAACTAATTTATTCTAGCACACGTGCAAAAAATACATTCATGAATTTACTAATACGCAATCAAACTAATTAAGTTATTATGCCAGATGAGCAAAAATACGTTAACCCCTTCGAGCCGGGTAGCGAAAACGCGCGCTTATCGCTGAGGCCGGCAGTGTCTTACGCGAGCGTCTCTCCAGGGCCGGGGGCTTTTTTGCTATTAAGCCTAAATCCATGAAATTTCCGAAGTATCAACGCATTATTTAATAATGCTCTATAGAGTATTTAAACGGCTTATGCTTTATAGATATTTTTATATATATATACTTTGATTACCTTATTTCTTGTTTAAATGCATATTTTACACATTTTATTTTAATTACTCACCATTTTATGACTTTTAACATTATACCTCTGAAAACTAAATATATTACTTAAAATTCTCTTTTCGTATGAAAAATTTGAAAACAGGGATCTACACACAGTCCTACGTTACATTCCTTGCACTCGTAATAACTCATTTGCCGTTTTGGAGGATTTTTCCAGGAATGTGAACAAACGAAGCATCGTCGTCTCAATTTCTTATCGGTCTCTTCTGAACAAAGTTTTGGAAAATGTCTCTCAGTTAACCTCTCAGAATCAATATCAGAATATCAGAATTTCAGAATCAATATCTGAAATATTTTGCATCATTTCTGCTATTTCATGCTCTGTTAAACATTTTCGACGCTTCGACATTGCAACGGTAAAAACAAAGAATTCACGTCTAACAAGATCTAATTATTTTCTAAAAACTGAACTGCAAACCGAAATACCCAACGCTTTAGAGCAAATAAAACTTCTCTACTTACAGTAAACAACTACCACGTGCGAATAAAGTGCGATTTAAAGAGACGTCATAAATCACGCCATTCGGAAACATTTACTTCTCCGTTTGTTTATATAATCAAAAACACGTGTATGTGAGTCATGCTTCACTCATTTCGAGTAGAAGGTCTAATGTACATGTATCTGAAACCATATGGACATACAGTGCCATCTTGTGGCAGAAATTATAGTTTGAAAAACGTTCCAAAGTACTGGCACAAATACGTGACAGTCGGTAGAGAACGGAACAATCCTCTGGCACGCCTGCGTGTCGGCCGTTAGATAAGTGTGTTCGTTGCTGGCACGTATACGTGACAGTCGGCGCGAAGGGGTTAATGAATTTACTGATACGTAATCAACTAATTAATGTTACGTACCGTACTCTACGGATATCTTACTTACATTTAAATCAAAAGAGGCCACGTGTCGAAATCTGCCCGCCTTCCCGTCAGCTACAGGCAACCTGAGGAAGTAGTGGCGCTTGTCTTGAGAAAACACCGGAGCTTCATACATGTCGACCCAGCCATAGGTGGTATCTTCTTGCATGTGCTGAAAAAAACACATATATTCATTAGACTAACATATGCAAGCACGTTTCCCATTATTAAACATCAAAATGGATCCGGGACTTTATAAACACCCTGTATTTGTGGTTGCTCAAACCATATAGTACTCTAGCTATAAAAATAGTATCAATAGTTTTCTTCTGATGCTTTTAACGTGAACTTGCAAAGAAAGCATCATAAAGATCATCGTGGTGTTTGTACAGTAATTTTTATTTTAATTATCAGATATTAAAAGGCGAAAAAAATAAGAAATGGTTTGAAGTTGCATTGAATCCAAAAATTGAAATTCCGATGAACATATCAAACGATTCATGATACCTACTTTGTGACACATCCATCCACTATCAGCTGTAGTACAGATGCTCACAATAGACGAGTTCTGCACCCGCCGCAGCCAGATTGACATCAGTCGAGTTTCATCAATCCACTGAACCATCGTCAAGTAGTAATCCCTGGGGAAAATGAGCATAAATGAGCACTTCAGTACACGATGCTTTTATATCGGGTTATTCATAATTCCCTCCCCGGTTTTAAGAGGCTATAGTAAAAGAACTACGACGAATCAGGAAAAAAGAACATTGCAATAAGTAAAGAAACAATTCAAGTTTTATTTTCGGCCCGTATATTGGTTCTACGTGTGAACCCTTAGTTAAGTCCAGTTACTGCCAGACTCTGTTCAACACTGTGGTAGTATGAACGGTATTGATTACAAGTGTGATCCTTCCACGCAGTTCTGCTAAATGGCGCGACGAAAGGGATTGGAAAACAAGGTCTTCAGTACACGATGCTTTTATATCGGGTTATTCATAACTCCCTCCCCGGTTTTAAGAGGCTATAGTAAAAGAACTACGACGAATCAGCAAAAAAGAACATTGCAAAAATAAAGAAACAATTCAAGTTTTATTTTCGGCCCGTATATTGGTTCTACGTGTGAACCCTTAGTCAAGTCCAGTTTCTACCAGACTCTGTTCAACATGGTAGTATTAACGGTACTGATAACAAGTGTGATCCTTTCACGCAGTTCTGCTAAATGGCGCGGAGACGGAAATTCGAAAGCATGGTCTTTTACATAGCCCAACAATAACAACAAAAAATTCACACGATGTTAAATCCAGTTATCAGGACTTGTGTTTCTCTTGAATTGCTTTGGAAACATCGTGCGTCCTGAATAAGAACAGGGAGCTTACTCAAGCTATGTTCAAGATTTGTGTATAACAGACGACACAAGCAGGAAGGGTATACGAAACCCTTTATTTTCAATACTTTACAGGTACTTCGGAACACAGAGACCAACCATTTGTGATCATAACGTAAGAATATAAAACTACTAACTAAAAGCTAACTTTGAATTAGTATAAATGCCTACCACTAAGACTGGCCTTTATTTAAAATGGTACGTATGTAGTACGTCGAGCTGCTGAAACTACAATACGTTCTCAAATATCAAGAGGGCTAAACCTCTGGCCTTAAAGGCAACCAGAAACCAGCAACCGAGTGAAAACTCGTAAAACGGAAGTGGCAAGCGGCTTGCTTCGTAAAACTCCTCTCTCTCTAACTCTTGGCAAAAAGCCACAACTTAAATACTTGGGCGTTAGCAAGACAATTTGCATAAACAAGTTAAAGCGTTTAATTCTGGCCGGAAGTAGAAAATAAGAAGTGATAGTACAGTTTTAAAATAAAATAAACGTTAGTAAAACTTAGGGTCCTTACACAGTTATGTTTTTACTTGTTTCCTTGATGTGATTCCTTGTTTTGATATATATTGTGTGACCAAGGATTCATACATAAAACCCCCGTAAGGGCTGTAAATAAAACTTGAATTGTTTTGTATTTACTGCAATGTTCGTTTTTGTTGTGTTTTGTATTTACTGCAATCTTCTAACACTGACTGACTCATATGACTTTACATTATTATTGCTAAGTCATTCCTTAAGAAATGTAGTTTTCCGCAGTAACTTATAAAATACGTCAAAAATGAAAATTGAACTTTAGTCTAAGGCACAGTTATCAAAAATATATAAAACCTGCGCTACATTATCTTCTCATTTTCTCTAAATAGACGATAAAGTCTCTTTTGCTTTAGGAAAAAGAAAATATGTTGCTGTTAGTAATCTGACTTATCTGACGTAATCAGAACAAGCCTACGAATAATCGTGGTAGCAAGGAGTACAAGTCTTTGTCTATCGTTGGCCAGAGCCTTCAGCACCATATAGGTGACAGTCCGACTTTCATGCGCATTTCCACCCCAATATTGAAGGAGAGCACCCATGGGAGAGAATCTGAGAGTTTCCCAGACTTTTATGCCCAGCGTGCAGGAAGAAGACTCTTAACACCAATATCTAAAAAAGTCCAGTTCACCAGTTGAAGCAAACTTATGGGTAATTTTTGCAGAAGCAAAGTCAAAATTGTGATTAAGTGTCCAGCTGTGATTAGCTGTCGAAAATGTGTTTATTTTCCTTTTCTGAATATGGAAACTGTATTCCTTGATGGGAAACTTTTACGCTCTTTTTTTTTTTGACCGTTGCATTGCAAACCACACTGATGAAATCGAAATCGAATATATTGAAATATATCGAAATATACCGAACCGAAATATATCGAATATATCGAAATTGAAATAATCGAAAGTACTACTACCACTAACACTCTTGAACAAAGCTCAGATCGCATAAATTTACGAATGTTAGAGAAAAAAACTCAATCAGGATGTTGGGGTTTTAATTTTTGAATTTAATAGTAAAAATACTTCTCATCTTTGTGTACCTGGCCCACCAGCGGCCGAGCGGTAAAGACGCTGAGCACTGGTAGTTCGTCCCGCGAACGGCCCTGGCTGGATGGGCGTTTTAGTGGTTTTCCCCATGTGTAACGTGTATACGAGCCAGTTTCCCTTAGAACATCCTCCACGAAGGCATCCCTCACTTTAAGCAGATAGCCCTCGTGTGCTTTGCCATAAATAAATAATCCAATCCATCTTTGCTTACCACCTATTTTTCTCTTTGCGTACCACCGGTTGAGAACCCCTGATCTAGGCCAAAATAAGGTTGTTCTTTTGATTAATTTTAACAATAATTTTACATTGATGTGTTTCGTCTTCATTTGATATTTGCAATACCTAATAATATTTAAATATTCTGCGATTACTATATAATTACAAAAGAAAGCACTAGTCATGTTTTGATCAATAAGAGAAAATTGAATTAATTGTGGGATGATGCAAAAATTTCTCGTATCGATATCCTTTCATAATAGTCCTTAAATAAATACCTTTTAACATCTTAAATTGGGCAATAAAAAGTAAACGTTTACATAGAAAATGGATGCTTCTAAGATTTCACTCTCTACTTAAGATTTCTTTACGTCATAAAATAATTATTAGTTAACCTAAATAATTTCAGTTTCTGCATTTCGAAGGAAAACAACCAAAATATGTCGCTCTCAAAAAATTAAGAAATGTGAGTTACATGTTTTTATTATATATTAGCGTTCCCAGGAGCAGTATGTTTTACACTCTTTCACTAAAAGCACATTATTTTTTCTTAATAACCTATCTTGACTTATTTTGCCTAAAATACCGTTTTAACTCTAGAGGAATTATATCTAAAAGAAATAAGTTTGGTTTTCAAAATATCCACTGTAGAAACAAGAAATGGTAATAACAAATTTTTACAGGTCTTATAAAAAATTTAAAACCAGCAGCTGGTTTCTGCTTTTGATATTTCAAGTCTCGTAAAAGTTCTTAATAACACATATCGTACATATGAAAATCTGACAAATATTTATAAAAAAGCTATCTTGTTAGGGAACTATGAAAAACCGCTTCAAAGTATTGATTTTGAATGTTTTCGATAAAGTTAGATAATCTTGTGGGCGGTGTATATATTTAGGCATTCTCTCTGCTTATGTGGGCGTTATTTTTATGATTTGTGCCACAGAAACAACTACCACAAAAAAAAAGGGAAACAAAATAAAATTTGTTGTCTTTTTCCGTTTGATAAATTTAAGCAAAGCAGTTGAGATATTATAACAAGCCAAGATACGTAGTGCTTAACTCTTTAGTTAGATGCAGACGAAACTTGCTTTCTAAATACGATAATAATTTGAAAAAATTAGCTGGAAGAACTGAGTAATTTTCCATACGATAACAGGCCCACCAGCGGCCGAGCGGTAAAGTCGCCGAACACTGGTAGTTCGGCCCGAGGTTCGAATCCCGAGAACGGGTTGGCTGCATGGGTGTTTTCGTGGTTTTCCCCATGTGTAACGTGCATACGAGCCAGTTTTCCTTAGAAAGTCCTTCCCGAAGGCATCTCTCCCCTTATGCAGATAGCCCTCGTGTGCTTTGACATAATTAAATACACCATACGATAACACTTTTAATACCGGATATAACTACAATACCTCTAGGTGAACATATTCCAGGAATTTTCTACAGACAGTTTATGTTTGTCAAGAATTTTATTGGATCCCTCTTTAATGCTTTAGGTACACTGGAAAAAAAAAGTTTTTATATCTTCCGTTCACGGCCCACCAGCGGCAGAGCGGTAAAGACGCTGAACACTGGTAGTTCGGTCCGAGGTTCGAATCCCGCGAACGGGCTGGCTGCATGGGCGTTTTCGTGGTTTTCCCCATGTGTAACGTGTATACGAGCCAGTTCCCCTTAGAAAGTCCTCCACGAAGGCATTCCTCCCTTCAGGCAGATAGCCCTCGTGTGCTTTGCCATAATTGAATAACGCAATCCAATCCATATCTTCCGTTCTACTGGGCCAATTGCGTTCTTCATGGCTCGAAAGCGCGACTTAGGATATATTTTAGATTTATGTATAGTATCATTCTAATATAGGTATTTTGAACACAAATCGGACTTTTCTGAAATGATATATATAATTTTTTCCATATTTCGATTCTACGACTCAAATTATGCCAAAATATTAAATTTTGTAAAATTTGGTGCGAAATCTACAGAGAAATTCAAAAATTTATCTTGGCGTATTTTTTTCAGTTTCGCCAAGAATAACTTACTTGGCGAACTTCTTAATTTATAGCAACCCATTTTCGTTTTCTTTTATATATTGTAGACGAGCGGGAAAAAAGCCATCGTTCATACTTTCAAATAATTTTAGAAAGTGCGTATGGCGTTATTATCGCTCAAAAAAAGATGCCAAATTTAAAAACGCTCCAATATGTAAATTCGTGCATATCTTGGAAAATTTTGAATAAGAAATTCTAATTTTTTGCTGGTGTGCCTTTAAAACGATGTTAAAAATTATATAGGAAAAATATACGAAATGATTTTCGAAAAATTTAGAAAAAATATTTAAAAATACAAATTTTAAAAATAAATCATAAAAAAATGTGCGAATTGTATTTGGATTAAGAATAAATTTCGAATTCTAGAAGAAGGAATCAAGTAAGTTTAATAAAAAACGAGGTATTAATAAATATATATCAAATTTAATTAACATTGAGAAGCTAAAATTTTGACAACTAATTTTTATAAACTAATCGTGCGATTTTTACAACACTTAGGTTGCCATAATTTGAATCATAGAATCGAAGTATGGAAAAAACTGGCATGTCATTTCAGAAGAAGTCCGATTTTGTGACAGAATACCTATATTAGAACAACGCTATATATAAATCTAATAAATATCCTAAATCGCAGTTTTAAAACATGAGAAACACAAGTTGAATTTCGTCAATCAGCCCAATAGAGCGGGAGATATAGAACTGTGCCATTTTTTTTTTCTCCCCCATTGTACCATGGATTCCGATCATAGGTTATATTTCAGAGAATATTTAACCCAGAATATCAGAACATTTAGGTTTCAACTACGCTTGTGATACAAATTCTAAAATTTTAAAATACGTTTTTATCAAAGAACCTCGTAGAAGCCGATGCATTTGTGTAATATGCTTGAAATAATACGTAACACTCAAATTATGACCTGTAAACACTAAAAGGCTTTAATTTTATAGTACACATTTTAGTTATAAAATCTGCATAACGTGTATTACGAATCATAAAACATCGTTAAAAGAATTTTTAGTATTTTGTTTCAGTAGCAAGAGATACAGGATCATAAAATCTGCTTACTCATCTTTGATTTCTGGAGGTGGCATCACTTCTTCCGTCACGGGAAAAGCTTGAGTAAAATCAGCCACCCAAAGGCTAGCTTTTGGATTGGTCCTTCCCGGCTGAAATTGAAAGAAGAAACTATATCAATCCTTAAACTAAAAAGTGTTATGTAGAGAAATTATCTGATAGCGTTATAAAAATTAGGTGAATGATTTTATGATTTATGGAAATCTTAATTTTTATTTGATTATGAATTATTTATTTTAAGGCTTTAATTTTGGGGAAAGACAGATGCTTCTGGGAATATTATTTAGTTTAAAAGAGTATTATTTATTTTCCTCTATTTGTAAATCTTGTACAAACTTTTATTCATTGTGAAAGAAGCAGGGAAAGGGAGGCAATTTTCGCCAAGTCATGATTTCGCGCGCTTTAGAATGTTCGAGAAAGAATTTTCATTGTTAGTTGACCTTAAGAGAGGAAAGTACGTGACGGAAAGGTCAAAGGTTGTCTTTCAATGTAAGTCATTCAGGTTTTGGCGATTGAGGGTCCGGTTGTTGGCTAAGTGAAGAAGGGCGCGCATGCGCGATCACCCTTATTTCCGCATTCTGGAGTTGAAAACGAAGATTTTGCCATAATTAAGGGGGCAATAAGTGAAGCCATAGTGGGAGCCCGTTTGGTGAAGGACAAGAAGAAAATTTGAGTTGGACACACTTACTTTTTGGCTGACTCTCTGACTGACTCGCTGATTTTCGGGCTTGCTGGACTGACGGGCTTGCTGGACAAAATGTAATTACGAAGCGGGATGTTTTCCGGCGGGGAGCGGCAAATATGCTCCCCGGCCGCGTTTGGTTAAGAGGCGAGACACACTTACTCTTGACTCGCTTAGGCAGTCACTTCTTGGATTCGCTGACTTTCGGGCTTGACGGACTTGTTGACGGAGACTGAGAAAAAACTTGTGTGTGTTGCGAAGGAGAAAGGAAAGGATTTAGTCGGCATCGAGCGGTGCTTCCGGCGGGGAGCGGCAATTATGCTCCCCGGCCGCGGGTTTTCTCAAAAATGCGAAGAAAAAAAAAACTGTTGAGCGAATAACAAAAAAATTAACAGAGACTTGGGTCTCTATCTGTATCGGCAAAAGTCAGGACGATGTCCTCGGAACTCCGACTTGAAAACAGAAGGAATTATGTCACCTTAGTCAACTGGAAGCCTGCGTTAGCCGTTCTCTAAAATGCCTAGCTTAATTGTCTACGTTTTCCTGGGTGGAGCTGAGAGTCTAGGCAGACAGCCGTGCGGTGTAAGCTGTTCTCTTGCTTCCAGTGGGAATAATTTTCTTCTATGGAAACCAGTAGCCGGCGTAAGATTTGACGGTATAGCTGATGTAATTTATTGTCGTGCCGTTCGAGTCTCTGTCTTGCGGATTTGCCAAGTGACGTAAGGATAGAGCTAAGATATGAGCTCTCCTCCACTTCAAGATGTCCACTCAAGATAAGTATTATTTTTTTTGGTGTGTTGGAACTTTAGGCAAGTTTTTTCAAAAACGTCCTTAGCAGTAAAACAACGTCGAATCTAAAATTTAACTCTCAGGCCATAAATTGTTTCCCTTTCCTTTCTTTTAAATCACCAGACAAACCTTAAGTTTTTTTATGAATTTAAATGAACAGACTCTCAGATGAGGTTAAGATTTTTCTTATTGTGTTGTAATTGAATAAACTGATATTTAATCTGGAACCTCTTACAGTATGTTTTCTTTATATATTTAATATGAACTTTTCCTTTATATCTTGTATATGTTTTATGTTTTCGATCCTCTCACGGCGCGGTCCCGGGATGCATTTTTTTTCACAACGCAAAAATGCTGTACACGTTTCACTATACGATCACTACCTTTTACGGCAAGTAGTTTCTTATTTAACATTTGACAATATAGGAATTTCAGATATAACATGGTACCTAGAAGTAAAACTATTTAACCTATGGTCGAAACTTTCTCTTTCTTTATAACAAAAGCTCTAGGAAAGAACGGCATTTCAAAATTTATGATTACGCAAAATTCAGCCTTAGATTACTTCAGACAGAATAGCTAGACATTTCATTGCAAAAAACAAGATCAAGTATGGAATTTTTAGTTTGTAGAAGGATGGTGACCCTGTCTTCCTCGCAAAAGATTTTTGGAAAAGCCTTTATCAATCTGAAGTTAACATTTTCTTATTTTGAATATAAAAATATTTTTTATTACTGTTAATACTTTTAACGATAAGACACATATGATTGAAAAAGAAATAATTCAGAAACTACTCACATAAATTAAAGCCAAATTTCTTTGAAGCAGCAGGCTGTAAGACTTGCATTATAAGCTTTTAAAAATTATGGGAAGAAACAGATTGTTTTAATGAACAGCCATCTAGAATAATAAAGTTACATTCTCCAATTAAAGTTCTTAAAGAGATATTTTAACAATGTACAGCCAAAGGGAATAAGACAAAAAAAAAGACAGTTTGGGAAAGGAAGGTGGAATTTAATAAATTCTGAATTACAATTACATTAATTCTTTCTTGGAGAACAGGAATCATGTAAAAATATAAACTGATGTGATGCGAAAATTCAAACTGACACACAGGAAAAAATCTGTGCTCAAAAGAATTCTGACAATAGGTTTTGGATTATTTAATCTGCTGTTAAACTAACACCGCTAAAATACGATGGACTGCATTACAACAAGTTTTATTTGGCAATTTCTTAAATGGTGGTAAGACTTGTCCACAGTGTAAACAATGATAAAAATTGAGTCATAACAAAGTATGTTTACCATATTGCATCGAATGGAGACGAAGAACTCAACAGTTTAAAAGAGCACATCTCTAATGATACACTTCAAAAGAAACATACGTAATTGACAGTGATTTTAAGTGCATAAGATACAGTGGTTCGAAATGTTTTTGAGTTTATGGTCGAAATTCCATAACATGCAAGATTCCCAGATTTCAGTTAAAGGGGTAAGACCGGTTAATAAATCCTGCGAACCTTGCGGTATATGCAGGGATTAATGGAACTACTCATTTCTTTAATACAACCACCATACTGTACTCGTCCCCTAACAAAAGACAAGTTGGCACCGCCAACAAATATCTTTATTGAAAACAATTTGACAAAAACAAAAATTACAATCTTCTTGATTATTCTTAATACAATATAATTATTAAAACAAAAACTTAAATACAATATTACATAATTTTTTTATCTCAATGAGCTTTTATAATACAACAATTTTTAACAATGTTACTTAATATTTTTAAGAAGATTGTATTATAATAATTTTTAATACATTTTTAACAAAAGACTTTTTCTTATTCATTAACTTTACTGAGAACTTAAAAACAAATCTTCTTCTGTTTCTGTAATATTTTTCATAACATCTTGTATTCCTTTTCTTGATTTTTCGTCCATATATATTTTAACAACATCCGATTCAAATCTCAATTTTGGTATAAATCTACACCATCTATCCTTTAACAAAGCACAATTAAGTACATGTTCCACATCTGCTTCTCTAGATCCACATTGACACATTATAGATTTAATATTAAATCTATTGTAGTAATACGGAACAGGAGCATGGTTAGTAAGGAATTGATTCAGATAGCTATTTCCAAAAATTTTCTTTGTATTAACTTCTTTTAAGAACTTATAGGTAAATCTACCTTTCAATTCTTTGTCCCAATAGGATTGCCAAACTTGTATTATCTTAATCCTTAATGAATTCTTAAACGAAACAATCGAAGTTGGAAGAAATTCATCTATAACCTCTTTTTTAGAGGCTTGCTTTGCATAAAAATCTGCAAGTTCATTCCCTGAATGACCAATGTGTCCACGAATCCAATGAAAATAAATATTTCTTTTCTTAGAAACTTCCAAATAATTTAAATGTTAATAACCAAATCCGTATAAATCTTAGAGGCGGCAATAGCTTGAATTGCACATTGGCTATCTGAATAAATATTAACTTCTTCTTGAGAGTTCTTTCTCAAAAGCCATTCCAAGGACTTTAATATAGCGTAAACTTCCGCTTGAAAAACTGAAGAATTATTACTTAAACGAAATTTTTGAACAGTACTTATTTCTCCACTTGAGAAAGCAACAAAAGAACATCCAGTATTTCCTGCAATTTTGGAACCATCAGTAAAAATTTCAAAGCCTTCACCTGAAGGAACTTTCTTATCCCAATCCAGATTTGAATATAATGCAGGATGCTTTACATTTTTCAAACTTAATATTTCAACATTATTTATTTCTTCAAAAAATTCAAAATCAAATCAATATCAATACTTTTACCATTCTTTAAATTAAAAAGAATACATTCTCTTTGTACAATCAAGTAAATGGGCTCACAGCCACTTAAAGGTAAATAAGCAAGCACTAGAGACCGTTCTAAAACACTTTGTAATGCTTAGCATAGCTAACCTTTGAATCTGAATCAACAGGTTATTAATTCTCACATTATTTCTCTACCAAGCAGGACAGGCATATAGAATCTTTCTCTCAATACTTCTTTTATAAAAGATCTTCTTAATATCACTACTAAGTCCTTTAATAGCGTAAAGTTTGTTCAAAATTGTAGCACAGTGAAGTTTAATCATCTTCAAGTGAGGCAAGAAAGAAAGTTGATCATCTACCATAACTCCTAGATATTTGATTTGCCTAACACTCTTTAGCGAGTGCCCATTAAACCTTCCTCTAGGTAAAGTGATCATTTTATTTTTCTTTGCAATACCCATTATTGCACATTTTCTATGATCAAATTCCAATTTAACTTTTTTGGACCAATCATTTATCAATGCCAAAGTATGATCAATATCTTGGTCGATTGTATGACGACCACTAGCAGAAACTATAACAATTATGTCATCAGCATAAGCTTGAATCACAACATTATCTTTAAAATGTAATTCAAAAATGGAATCACAAAGAATATTCCATAACAAAGGACCTGAATTTGATCCTTGAGGACATCCTTTACTGTATTTTCTTGAAATACTAATATTTCCTTCTTGAAAAATTACTAGACGATCACTTAAATAATTTGAAAACAATTTAAATAAATTCATTGGACAATTAAATCTTTTTA